ATATGAATATAAATATAAATATATATATATATACATATAAATATATATATAAATATAAATACTTCTGGAATTAACGGGGTAGAAATCGAAGAAGTAAATCGATTATTATTATTATTACGATTATTATGATTATTATGATTATTACGATTATTAATTAATTATTAATTACGATTACACGCGGATCGTATTATTATGCGAAAAGAGAAATTATGTATGGCCGGAAGCTAGCTGAATCCGTCGGACCACGTGATGATGATGAAGATGATAATGATGATGATGATGATGATGATGACGCTGATGATGACGATGATGTATGGTATTCGATTCTCGCGAAGTGAATCTCGACGATGTGTCGAGGTTCGGAACAGAACTGAAGTTTCGGTGGGAGAAAGAGCAAAAGAGAGCGAGAGAGGGAGAGAGAGAGAGTGTGTATGAGTGAGTGCGAGAGAGAGAGAGAGAGAGAGAGTGAAAGAGAGTGTTATATTGAAGAGAAAATAACAAAAATTAAAAGCGTGAGAGGGTGAGAGGGAGATCGTAAGAGAGAAAGGTGTGTGAATGACAGAAGAGAGTCAAGTCATGCTGCAGCTACTATGACCACTACCCCTAAGTAGATTAAACGCTACTTTGCCGCTGATCTAATTGTTTACTGTCACGTGTTGCTGTAAACCTAAACTAACGATACGATATATTTTATTTATATAATCTAATCGACTGTATTTATTGTAAATAGTCACGATGTTTGCTATGATATAATATATCTGTAATTGGATGGAAACCTGTCTGAGACTGCGCCCAGCCCTGTCCTCTATGACTATGTTTCCCAGTGCTCACGCACACTTCACACCCGTACACGTTGTACGAACCGAGTCATTTAATTCGATCCTACAATGTCCCCGCCGCTTTCAAACGAATTCTTCCGTGGCGAGAAATTCTAAATCGAAAAAGGGCAACCCGGATAGACATGGAAATCAAATCTCATGTTTCACGAACCGCGTATTTATTACCGAAACAGCGAACGTTCAGAGCGAAACGTACTTTCTGTGGAATAATCTTCTGTTATCGTCGAAAGCGATTGAGGCATTTCGGAGTTTGACTTAAATCGACCGGTCCCGTACACGAGAGACGCGAGAATACACACCGTAAGTGGACAGGCGGATCTATATGTATGTATATGTACACATGTATATGTATACAAGGGAACGATTTATTTGCCGAGAAATTCGTGGACGAAACAGGTGCATGCAGAGGTACTTAGGGTATCCGCGCGATTAGGAGAGATAAAGACAGATCTGTATCGCGTTCAACGAGTTTATTATTACGATGTCAATACACTTTTCGTCGTCTCGCAACGAACAATTCGGATAATGCTGCCGAGGTTCAAGCCTCTCTCTTTATCGATTTCACAAAATCTCGTTTCGGGAACCCTTTCGAGGACGAAAGAGAACGATTGCCAGAGATAATTTTTTATAAATGTATTTTTTTCTCCCGGCGTCCTCGACGATCCAAGGATTCGCGATCGTCAGAGAAAGCTCTCGAAAGAGTTGTCAGAGGAAAGCATAGAAGAAAAAGCAGAGGAAAAGAGAAAAAAAAAGAAGTTAACGTGAAACTCCAATCGACGAATCGCCGCCATGACAGGCACCACCGTGCCGCCACCCAACCAGCATGTCCAATAACTTACAATATTACTATCATAAGTACAATATATTAAGTGTTTTCAGAAAATATATGATCTATATATGATAATAAAAACGAGAAAACGTTTCATCGGCGAGTATGTCATTGTCTCTTCTCGATCCTCGTGCTTCGCCCTCAGCCTCCAACATTGTGTCTTCGGTAATCTCTTGGATCATCCTCGGCTAGCACGACGTTCCTTTGATATGCCCAGAATGCAAAGAGTGAGCAGGAAACTCAATAACTGCAAGCAAAATGAGTAAATGTTACTTGTACCGTTCGTTCGCAAGAAGTCACAGTAAAATCGTGAACTTGCGAGTGTCTTTCATGAGTACTTAATCAAATAATACTCGTTTTTTGCAGTGGTTTAATTGGAAATCTGAAGTCTAGGCTTTTTCCCCAGTCCACTTTCAACTTACTAAAATTAGAAAAATCACGAGGGCTGCTATGCTTATAGCATGAACATGTGTCGTTAATAAAAGTACAGCGTTCCTTAGGCACCCCGGTTTGAAGGCTACAGCTTCCGTCATTCGAATACACTGAAACAGTTAAAGATCTACTAGTAAAACGAGGAACATCTGATACTGTTCATCCAGATTCGTTCAATATTTGTTACTTCCTCAATAGCTGTGGCGCAACAGCTCTTCGGTATATTAATGTAGTAATTGCTCCAGTCGTTCGAAGACATAATTCCACAGCACTTCAACTAAAATATAATCATTTTTCAACAGCTTTCTTAAGAAACACAACAACATAGCAAAAGAAATGATTATTAACAGAGACTGGTTTCTTACGTATCTATGAGTATTGTCCCAAGCTTTCTTACTCGTCGACGAAGAGTGATAACTCTTAATGGCCGTGAGCATGTTGCTCTGAATGCTTTTTATAATTTCTTCGAAAATCCAGAAGCTCGACAGAGCGGTTACAAAGATCACGCAGAGAAACGACAGGCAATAGAATCCGTACTGAAGCCAGAATAACGTTCTAGTCATTTCCAGTTGTCGATTGAAGTATCTCTTTTTAATAATAAAAACCAACAGTCTGCAGATACTTCTTCCTTTTTCGAATCAGTCCAATTATCCCCAGCAGAGACGCAAGAGAACCGATCAAACCGGTCAGCAATAAAGTGATCAAGAATAGCCGGTGCCCGATCAATCTAGACATCACTCTGTCGTCGGTGAGAGTCCACACAGACGTAACGACTCCGACAATACCTGCAAGCTTTGTTCATTGCGAGAATATTTATTCGCTGTAAAAATATTCCCTCGATAACAGATCTTTCGTATGCGTTAACACGTTGAATGCCATGGGGGTCACCGGTGACCCCCAAGCAAATCGAGTTACTATAATTCACTCAATTAAACGATGATTCGCAAACATTTCTATATTATAAATAATACTCCCCATTGCGGTGACATTCAGTTTGATGAACGTGCAATGATTTAATATTGTATTTTTTCCATTTTGTGTATTTTGCTCTATGAAATCGTGCGGCGTTCAACGTGTTAATCGCTCCTACTTACGAATGTCATTGCATTAACCGCGAGGAAGACAACTCTAATGCATTTCTGTGAGAAGTGATCGAAAGGAAATTTGTGGAAACGCATTCCAAGGAAATGCGATATCTTTTCGGTAGAAACGGTAGCATTGCTGTCGGTGATATCTTCGTCTTCCGTTTCCACCTCGCCCACATTTCGACTGACCCCGTGGCTTTTCACTCCGGTGAAGAATTTATTCCAGTTCATCTATTTTCATTTCATCTGAACCGCGTCGAGGAAAATAACTGAATGAAAACGTATCAATGGTGCCAAATTCATGTGACTATCTAGGACTAGAATAAAAGAAAAAATGAGATCCATACACTGTTCGTGATTTCGATGGGGATAAATGATTATAGTCAGCAATAGTCATTAACACGTTCGCCAGCACTTATTTCGATGACGGTCTCAATTATATTTGCTTCAATCCAATAAATCTAAACGAAATATTAGAAAAAATCCCAAATATAATGTAGCTTATAATTTCTAATGACATCTTAATTTTATTAAGATTAATTTCATTTTCAGAATCTTTTTCTTATTGACATTACCAACAACTAGAAGTAATTTTAATAGAAAAAGTATATTAACATATAAATAAATAATGCGCGCATGAAAATTTTACAGTTTATAATGACAATTTTAAGTGGCTCTGCTCCGGAGTCCTCGAGTGCAGAGAGTTAATAAGTATTAGGCCAAGAATAGAAAAGGAGAGATCATTGTTAATCAGATGTGTAGATTTCGGACATTTCAGTATCATGATTCTAATAAAAATCTGAAAAAGAGAAACCTCCTCTCCCTATGAAGCCTTGCGGCAAACTGAGCGCTTCCCGCTATTAACCTACCTTAATATAGTCAATAACCATAGAGTTGAAACAAGTTATACTTCTTTTACTTTGCAATGCTACTTCAGTGATTTTTAGTAGTTCTTCAAATGTCCGGTGTCACTAGGCAGAGGGCGCTCTGTACAGTTTGAGGAGTATCAGTTGGTACACCTGTACCGGGTCATTGATCATCAGGTTATATTTAAGTTTCTCCATCGGCAGTCTAGGTGGAATAGAGTTCATGGAAATATGCGTATATTACCCTTCAATACTCTTATTTTCCCGCGGATTTCGTTACGATTGTGATACGAACAGTGATGTGCTTTTAATATTTTATTTTTGTGAAAGAAGTCCTTTTGATTGTAATAAATTTATGAGTTGTTTATAAGTTAGTAATCTTGTAGTTTGTCGCGTTGTATGTATAGTTGAGTCGATCCTTGATTCGTTCGCAGCAGTGAAGTAAATTATTGTCTAGGTTATAAAAATGTGCCATTGACAGATTTCACTTTTATCTTCTCAGTATAGTAATGCTGTAAAAGATAGTTTATATTTGCAATTGTTTAGGTAAGATATATTAAATACATTTATAAATAATCTTCTGTCTTGAGGGTCTCTAAAGTAGTGAAACTCATTGAATTTTTATTATCCGTAAAGCCACCTGAGATGAAAATGATGGAGTTGGATGAGCAAGATGACTGTTATATTGATGCAATTACTCCTGTCAAGAAAAAGAAGATGAAACAAGGTTTGTATCTTACATATATTGTACAAAATTGGTTGAAGTAATTGTTATTAGATTATGCTTTATAGTTCTTGCAGTCATTGCTTCATGTTAAATTGAATGTGTTTTTTTAGCACAACTGCCTTTTCAACGAAGTCCTGTGGGATCGCCACAAGTAGTGCTGAGTAAGAAAAGAAAGTTAACGTCCCCTTCTGTAGAATACAAGAGTCCAAAAGCAATTAAAATTTCAAAGAAGAATGTAAGAAAGCCGGTCGTGAATAATAAAAAAGTAAATGACATTGTCAGTGATGAAATAAAAGAGAACAGTGAAACTATTAAAGATACAGAGGTAATGGAAATTGAGAATGTGAAAGAAAATACAATTTCTAATAAGGTTGAAAGTGGAGATAAAAATGTGACTCCAAAACGAGTATCTAAAAAATTAGAAAAGGAAAAAGCTAAACTGAGTCCTTTAATAAGTTTCTTTAAAAAAACTGAAAAAGAAGCAGAAGCAGAAGCTTCAAAGGATGATCAGAATTTGTCCCAAGAAGAAAGAAATGAATCTTCTGATAAGTCTTCTGATTTAAAAACTGATAATATAAGTTCAGAGTTAACTAACTCCAAACAGGAAGAACTAAATGATTCTAAGAATCTAAATAATGATTCCGATATTTTAATCTCATCGTCTGATAGTGAAGACAAAGAAGAACTGACAATGTTGAATGGAAGTCAGGACTCAAGTAGGAAAAGTATTAGTCCAAGTGAAATTGAGACTCCTAAAACAGATAAAGGGAAGCAGAGGAAGTTAACACCTAAACAGCAAGAAAAAAAATTATTGAGTGCTAAAAAAAGAGAAGAAAAGAAAAAGTTAAGAATGGTAAGTCATAAAGTTAAACTACAAATATTTTTCATTGATTCTTCTCTCCATCTTCAATCAGATAATATTCTTTATTTGTCTGTTAGGAGAAGGAAAGAAAGCTAGAAGAAGAACGAGAAAATCGGCGAAAGGAGAAGGAAGAAAAACGCAGGGAAAAAGAAGAAAAGGAAAAAGCAGAAAAGGAACAAAAAATGTTGGAGAAAAAATTGAGAGATCAGAAGAAGCAACTAGAACTTGAGTATGAATACATGCTGATTTTTTTTAAAACATTTAACATTTATCATTTAGGATCATTCTGACAGCATCAATTTATTCGCAGGCAAAAGCAGAAGGAGAAACAAGCAAAGGAAGAAGAGCGTCGGAAAAGGGAAGAAGCTAAGGAAGAAGAGAAAAGAAAGAAAGAAGAAGAGAAATTGGAAGCCGAACGCAAGAAACAGAAGGCAGCGTCAAACTTCACCAGCTTCTTTGTTGCTAAAAAGCAAGAAAAAACTGTCGAGGAAGAAAGCACTAATAAAATCCAAAATTTCATGCCTTTTGAAGTAAAGGTGGATATGAGGTTAGCTCCAGTTTGTAGGAGATCTTTGAACGAACAAGAAAAAAAATCGTTGGATGAAAGTTATAACAAAGAAAACGTAGAAAAATCAGATCTATATCTTAGCAATCTTAGAAATAAAAAAATCATTCCCCACAAGTCGTCGAAGACGTGGCCGTTCGAAGCTAAAGATGACATCATTCTCCTAGGTAAACATTGTATTTTCTAAAAAAAATTTATTGCGAATAACATTCGGATTTACATACCCCTTGCCAACAGATGATGAAAACGACGGCAGTTCGAACATTGTGAACCAGAACGTTATAGAGAATCAACGGGCTAAGTTACTCCAGTTCTCGGAGAACCGTCGTCCGCCATATTGGGGCACATGGAGGAAGCGAAGCAAAAGTATCAACCCTCGGAAACCATTTTCAAAGGACGAGGTAAGTTTTGCTGTAACTTCTAAACGACGGAACACCAGCGAACATGTTTCAAGTTTAAGTGTTACACGAATTTGGGAAAGAAGAAGCCAAGATACTTTCAACATTATTTATTGTCACTTTTCAAGACCTGTTGTGTATTCTAGTCTAGTAACGCGTACTATTCTAAAGGATGCTACAAAAGTAGCTTGTCTGAATCTCTTTTCTCAGCGTCGCTTCTCAGTATCAAATTAATCGGTATAAGAATATTATCTGTCTTCTTAAGCTGTTCGTAAGGCGCATGATCGTCTCATCGATGCGCCAAGAGATTTTTAATAATCTCGGTTAAGTACATCGCGTACGAAAACTACCTCGACGTCTCTTCTGGCGATGATGCAATTGTTCAGATGGAATTAGCTAACTTTCCGTCGGTAGAACGTTCATCTTTCCTCCACGTAGTCCTCTGCCGCCGTGGAACAGCGGGTACGCGTTTTTCCTGTGCACCTTGCGATGCTTGGCCAAATGATCGCTGCGCGCGAATCTCTTCGAGCACATTTCACACGGATATGGCTTCACCCCGGAATGGGATCTTCTGTGCCTGGCCAATTCATCGGATCGGCTGAATCGCCATCCGCATCCGGTCCACGTACAAGCGAACGGTTTCTCCCCTGTGTGACGCCGTAAGTGAGCTTTCAAGTGGGATGCTTTTGCATAAACCTGCAGAAGTAGATGACAACACGCATTCAATACGATTCAACTGTACGTTCAATCAGCTTGAAAATCCAGGTTTAGTCGGAACAACGAAATGAATGATTGATGTGAATACCTTCACGCATCCCTGATAAGTGCAAGGGAAGCACCGGTCTTCAGCCGCGTTCGCCAAAGTGCGGTTAGTGTAGTCGTGAGTTGCTAGTGCGGCTGCAGCTGCTGTTGAGATGAGATTCTCCTCCAGTTGATTATTGTTGTAATCTGTAATCAATGAGGGAATATTACAGATAACGCGCAAAGATGATCCACCAAACAAGGTTTCAATAATCGGTCCTTATAGGTCTACCAACTGTCTAACATTTTCATTTGGATTCGTTTGCAAAATGTAATCAACTTCCACGCGATGGAACTAGAATATTCATTAGATACACGTATCCTTTTACAGAAAACCAATGTTGTCACATTCAATCGACTGTCTACGACATTCTGCTGTTGATTTTCAAACACGATTTTAGCGTAATACCGCAGCGCTCGAAACTTACCTACTCCGCTGGGTTCCAAAGTATCCTCGAGTGCTCTCAGATCGATCCCAAGCACCCATAATGGTTCCTCGCGTTGGAACGTTTGTTCGAGGTTTGGCAGAGGCAAGTGTAGAAAACCCTCGCACCCCTCGGTGCACAATGGTGTCCTCTCCGGAAGTCCGGAGTTCCAACTTTTATCTAGGCACCATTCCAATTCTGAGTCTAACTCGCCCAGTTCGCTCAAGCACCCTGCGCACACGTTAGACAACCCTTATTTACATATTGAATCCCAACAGTTCCTCAACTCAAATCATCAATAATATTGACGATCAAATAAAAAGCAGCACAACAGATGCACCATTATACCTCGTAACCATATATTTGCCATCGATCGATTCATGTTTACTAAATTCTTTCAAAATTCTACCCTGTCGTTAGGCGAATGATTACTGGTTATATTACATAATATTATGCAACAAGAACGCACCTGAAGAAGCGGATGTATTGTTCGACCACTCGTTCCAAAGTATCTTCGTCGGGCAAGTCAGATCCGTGTAACAGTCAACGGGGTTGGTAACGTTGTTGATACGATTGTCGATCGTCTCCGAGTCGTCGCTGCGCGGCGTCGTTCTGCAGGACGACGCCTCGAAGTCGCATTCTAGGGTGTTCGCATCCGTGGTGAACAGTTGTTGCCCGACACCCGCGTCGGTGGTCAGACCAAGCGCGGAGAACAACAGCTCGTCCGTCATCTGCGAGAAGGAATTCGAGAGGAATGGTATATTAAGCGACGCCGCGTCGAACAGGAGAGAAACGTGCTGACGATTAAACGACGGAGAGGCTGTTTATTGTTGCGAGCGCGCGGATTAATCGGTCGGGCAACCGGCGATACTGACAATAAGTCACGCACCGCGAGCGCTCTATATCTCTCGATTAAAATTCAATTCTATTTTGAGTTATCGGCGGCGCGAGAAAGAGGGAAACGTAATTTCTACTATCTCCGTTCCTCTTCTTCTTCCTCTGTCCTGCGAAATGTTTACGCGAATCACCGTTCGATTGATTCGAATTAGCTATTAGCCACGGAGTAATCTTGTTTTTTCGGTTCTTACGATTCTTTCGATTCGAACGAGGTTGGAAACTTTCAAAGACACTGGTCCGAATTGTTCTAGATTGTTTTCTAATGGAAAACGAGAATCTAGTGTTAAAGTTGTTTCAAGTTTGTGTGAAAAATTTTATTAAAAAAATCTCGGCATTGAATGAACGTCTGGTTGACGCGTCACGTGAAACACTGTCAACGTCGGACGAGACACTGATATTGTATATCAACGCCGGTACGTCAGATATTGGACGTAGCTTCCACCCGGAAGCCAGGGGTAACTGATTGCGTTCGGAAGTTTCCATTCTTTGATTACGACGAATACCTAATATACATTTCGTGTTTATTTAATTTTATTGAGACGCGAACGGGTTGGCTGTAACGTTTGCTAAGTCACTCACGTCGAATATCGAAGCGTCCTCGATCATCCTGCCCTGCGACTTAGGATTTCCAATAGATTCCTCGTGAGACAATCGACTCGATTGGTTTCCCTTCTCTTTTTAGTAATTGCTCGCACGCAATTATTTCACCATTAGTCACTGTCTCGATTTCCTCTACGCATTATCACTTCCGATTGCCACTCTTTCAAGGTTCCCGCTGTTACGCGACCGTCGAATCGACTCGTCCCTCTATTTCTCGCAGTTGTTTACCTCGATACTAGAAATCCTCGTATAATTCTAATCAAACCATCACCTCTCAGCAATCGACAGTAAATACCAATTTATTCACAGCAGAACAATTACGGTTCAAATAAATCTTCACTTCATGAAAGATATCTTATACCCTAACGGAATCAGTTTCTAATTCTTCTCTAGCCAAGCCGATACTTTATTTACTATAGAGTTCAACAGAATCCAAACGACTGTTTTTAAAAATCGATCTTCACTCCGATAGAAACTGATCTTATTATCCTAAATGTTCCACTTCGATCTCCCTCTGTCTTATCGTCTGTCGGTGGACGTGAAATAACCCATCGATTCGAAACGATTCGATGGCCCGATCGACGATCACGGTGTCTTGGACGAAAGACGCTCGGCTCACCCCGTTGGAACGGGTAGTTTCGTGGTCGAGCGACTCGTGGAGACTGGGCTGCAGACCCAGAAGACGCGGACGAGTCGTGTGACAAGGCACGACACACGGTTCGAGAGATAATCGAGGCTGTGCCACCCGGCGCCGTCACCGTGCTTCTCCCCAGGGATCGAGGCGGCCGATCCCAGAACACCGTCAGACGCGCCAGCGAATCGGCTTCCTGGCTAATTGGACGGTTAACTCGCTTATTTACGATACCAGCCACCCCCGATAATCGGCCTCTCGCGAGATTTCTGCGAGACAGATCCGCGACAGAATTCGCCACCAAATCCTCCTCGCAATTCGCCGGGTAGCACGTGGCCTCTCGATGTTTATCAGGCCACGGCCGCAACGTTCGCTCGTTTTTTCCTGCTCGGTCCATTACGGGTTTGCAAGAAATTCGCGCTACGTAACCGCTCGCCGATGGTCCCTTTGCCGGATT